CCCTTACAAAATTCATTGGCCAATTGAGCTTAAAGAGCTGTCCACCTCTTCTCGACCACAGTCAGCTGACGAACACCGGTAACTAAGTAAGTGACAGTTCAATAATGATTAGGCAAAAGCACTCACCACCCTGAATATGCCCAGAAGCCCTGATAGAAGGCCAATGCCAAATAACCGGGAGAAGAATTCGACCCCTCAAAGGCGTTGTGGAAATTCTCCACATGACCTAGCATAACGTCAAGAGACTATGAATACACAAACCGATGATGAAGGAGACTCGTTCAGCAATAAAAGAGATTCCACATAGAGAGCTTACCGGTTGTAAGGTAGTACAATCCGAAGCCAATGATCAAAAGTAGGGCAATAGTTTTGCTAAATGAAAAAATCACTGCAACTCGCGTGGCCCACTTCACCTTGTAACAGTTTATGGCGCAAATTAAGACTAGATAGATGACGTACAGTATGACCATACTTACTCAGACCGCAAAGGGCGACCATGCTTACAACAGGCTGGGGACTAGGACAGTCTGGATAGACCATCTGCAACATATACTGCGCGAAGATGATGGAGTTCCCGGCGCAGCTAACACCTCCAACCACCACAAAGGTGATCCACATCACGATGAATGCAGGAAGACCGCCGAAAGCTTCCAGAACATATGCATACTCGCCTCCCGATTTTTGGATTCGCACACCTAATTCAGCATACACCAGAGCACCAAGCATGCTGAAGAGACCCGGCACTAGCCACATGACTAGAGAAAGGCCCACAGAATTCGAATACTTAAGAACGCCGACTGGTGAAACGAAGATACCTGACCCCACTATAATACCGAATATTATGCAAACGGCTTGCAAGACGCCAATCTCCTTGGCCATTTTCACCGCCACCCTTGCGTCCCCATTTTCACATTTTGCAGATTCAGATTCACCAAGACTACTACCCATTATCAAACTGTGCAAACTGGCACATGGCCTTATAGCACAAACTTATAAACGCACTTATTTTAGTGATTCGAATTGGCCCAGTTAAACAAGATTTGCCAAGAGCTTAGTGAGTATAAACATTATGATTTGGCAATTCTTTTCTGTTCTGACTATATAATTACAAAATGCATCCACATACTATGTGTTTGCCGAGGATCTACTCTAAAAGGGAAGCAATAGTAGCTTGATTTAACATATAAGGTATGTAGCTTTACTACCGTTTAGGCACCATTGACTTCGAATACAAATCTAATTCTTCACGAATCGTTTTAACTAACTAAAGTGGAGGACTTTAAAACTCGCAGCCAGGTAGAAGTAGGTATTACGTAGGGCTGAGGTGATGAAATAATAGGGCCTTGCACACAAGGATGAAACGAATTCTAAAGTAACAACCAGACATTAGGTGGATACTTAACCAATGCCTTCTGCTGCCTAGTGAGGCATTTAAGTACGAATTAGAACTCAACCACTATTGCTTGGCTTCTCTTCTGGAGTTTACCGTTTGACAGTATAGTGCCCTGAGACTTCCCACCGGATAGAGCGAACATTAAACAAAGAACAAAGTAATTAGGTCTGAGCATGGCCAGAAAGCCAGCCCACGTGTACAAGGGTAAGACATGTCTTAAAGTGACCGCCAGATAATCGTAATTTTGTTGTTCAAATTGCCCTTTTATAGGAGAGATGGGGAGTCAATTTAAATGCCGTGCTGGCTAATTGCAAATAACTCTCCCATGACTAGTGTGGATATTCATCTGCGTTCACTTATAGCACTCCACATCTTCCTACTAGGTAAATGAAAACAATAAGTTGAACAGCGAAAGTGTTCCCAAGGGAAAAAGACAGAAGACTGGGTCTAGACTTGACCCAAAGTTTAGCTCATATGCACAAGATCAAGGCGACAACCAAAGTAAACACCACTCATATAGTTGGGCACAACAACAAAGCTTACAATCATCAGTTACTGCAATGTGTAACTAACTGTTGATATTAAAGGTATTTGCAGTTATATATATGCCAATATGTTTAAGCTGCCTCTATAGAAAAAACAGGTTGGTCAATTCGAACACGATTACCATTCTTGGAGAACGCTAGAGTTCTTCCGCAAATTAAACCGGAGGACCGCTTAATACATACTAGTACTCCTTTCTGTTATGTAAAGGATGCTCAATAAGCCGAATAAGCCAAACAATCCTTTTATGAAGCGAGAGGCTTATGGGCCTAGCGGTAGGATGTGAGTTTTACAACTACTCCATTATAATAATTATAATTATAATAATTTATAATAAATGACTTCGAATCCGGCAAAAATATGTTTTAGACTGATTTATGTGGTGATGTTTTTAAGTTGCTATTATAGGACTGCCAGTTTGAGAAGCGGTATTTTAGTGGGCATCTTGGCGCTGTCAACTCCGAAGCACGTTTGACCATATCACGACTCTGCACTTTCCCTCCCTAATGATAGCAAGAACTCATTGAAGATATATTGTATTTTGTTGCCTAAATGAAATTCGCTTAATGCCATAAACACCACATGACATAAACAGCGTGGATGATGTCGGATAAAATAAGGAGGTCGGTAGTGGGAATCGGGCTTTATATCACATTCATTTAGGCTCCATAGTTTTTGCTATTTGGGCTAAAGTTTGGGCCGTGCCAAAGGCCTCATCTAAAACTTCTTGACGGAATATATGTACTTTATTCAGGCATTAAAACGTATTCATCAGTGTGCAATGTATACTATAGTGTTTAAGTTTGCCTTCATAAGGAAGAGGCGAGGAGTTTATTCGAACACGAATCCGGTGCGTGAGGATCGTAAGGATTTCCTCTCCGGGTAATATTTGATGTGCGGCTCGTCTATACTATCTATCACCGTTCTTTTAGCACATAATGCTAAATAAAGCAACTTCAACTAACCCTTTATTAAAGCCCGAGGTTAAGGGGCATGGGGGAAAGCAGACAACATATCGAAGCTATCCTTAATAATTATTTGCAATATTGTTATATTTAAGTTCTCTCTGCATCTGCAAAATGTGGCTCCTTATTCTAAGGGGCTCTCTTTTGCGTATGTATCCACAAGGTATTTTTTCTCGTCGAATTAATATTTTGTGAAGGGTGGTGTAGCGTCGCAAAACTTCCCTTTTGGTGGTAGAAGGCAGTGGGCGTGGTCAAAGACTTTTGTCTCGATTTTTGGACAGAGAGGCAAAAGCACGACGGCCATAAGAGAGACCGCAAATCAAACATAAGCAAAGCCGAATAAGTGCCTTATTATCTTAAAGCAGGTGGCACACTCACGGAAGTTATTGTGCTAGATGCGATAAAGGTTTATTCTTATACAATCATCAGAGATTTTAAAAGGGACTGATCGAATATTTAACAGCTAAATGGAATAAGGCTCTAAGACTGGCCGTAACTCCATTATTTGTCTGATCTTTATGTTCTTTACTGACAGCTACACTTACCTGAAGTCTAATCTTGCTTCAATTTTTCTTGGACACATCCGTTTGGCTATTATGAATGCAATCTTTCGGTTAGAGGCCTCAGGATGCTTTAGTGATTCGTAAACTGCTTATTTCATGCAAACTTTTTCGCCTGCCCGAGGTACTACACAAGGTATTTTTAGCTCTAAGACAAACTTTTACGCAAACCGAGGTAAA